TTTTATTTAACCAAATTAATTCCATGCAGAAAATTAATTTCTATAACACTTCAATAATTAAAATACTAAAACCGAATTTTAAGTAATGAAAACTAAGAAAATAATTTCTAAAACCCAAAATTAATTTCTGAAAAAATTTCACAAAAATATATTCTGAATTGTTAATGGCACCAGTATCGTACTACTAGTTGTTGTCAAGAAAAGAGACAGTATATTACTACTATCTGTCAAATAGTATATAATCACTATTTGTTTTTCTAACCAGAATATTATTTTGTAAATCCACAGAAAATAATTTTCTTCCGAAATTATTTACGAAGAATGAAAAAAGGGAAACAAATGAAAAATTCTGTAAACAGAATAATTCGGTTATGTCTTAAGATTGTTGGAACAATCTTCTGTGTAAATAAAATAACTTAAAATAATTCAAACAAAATAAAATAAAACTTACAGAATTTATTTTGTTGAACCGAATCAATAATTTAAAGACCAAGTCGAGTGTGTGACACTATGTCCTTAAGACACCCGCTACGGTGCTTACGGTTATGTGGTGTCTATCTCCCAGGATACAATGATCTTCACAAATTGTAGTAGCACTCCAAACAATTTATTCGACGAACCAAACATGTGTTCTAACTCTCTGAAAATTACCCTAAAATAATATGAAGAATAAAGGACGCAAGAGAGTAAAATGAAGGCAAGGAAAATGAATTTTCAGAATTAATCAAAATTGGAATGGGACTGCCTTTATATAGGCTTTGTTGGCACCTATTCAATTTGAATAGAAAAGGTATGAAGAAGGGACATACCCCTTCCTTTAAAATAAAGAGACAACATGAAAGGTTTGCACCCTTTCATTCAAATGGAGGTTTGACCCTTCCTTTAAAACAAAAGGACACCATGAAAGGTTACACCCTTTCATTCAAAATGGAGTCTATTTCAATTCACAACTACCTCTTTATAAATTTTCCAACATAATTTCGAAAGCAAGGAACTCGTGGAAAAAGAATGAACACACAATATGCAGTACAATAAGCAATCTCAGACTTGGCCTTTACCTATCAATTGCTTGAAGACTATTTATAATCTATTGACAGATCCAGTAAACCAGCCAGGCAAGGTACGAGAGGGGTTGAGGAAGGAGGTGGATGTAATTGATGGCGAGATAGTAGAACAGGAAGGCTATGATCAAGTCATAAACAACGTAGGAGAATGAGTGGAGAACAGATCGACGAAAACAATGGGGTGGTATGGCCTTCTTGATCTCGCCAACTGTGAATGGAGGTTTCGAGTAAGGAACTCACCGGATGACATCACGGTCTGACTTCTTTCCCTCAGGAGGAACAGACATTCAGCCACCTGCACCCATTGTTCATTAACCTGCAAAAATGATTATGGCAGTGAGAATAATGCAAGTAGTTTATATGAAAAATAAAAAACTTGGCTATGTATGTGCAGGAAATATGTTCTTGTGAAGGACTTCATGGGCATCTTACAAATTCAATTCCTATTTACTTACACAACCGATCAATATTTCTGCTTGAAGAGTAACAAACAAACACTCTTTAACCCTTGTTGAGTTCAACAGACTAGACTAGTAACATAACTACCCTGTTTTTTGATTCTGTACAAATTTGGAAACATAATTATACTAATGAGAATTAAATAAAAATGTGTTTATTTTAATAATATTGTAAAAAATGAACTAATGAGAATTAAATAAAAATGTGTTTATTTTAATAATATTGTAAAAAATGATTAACAATGGAATTAATAAATTATTTTTATATAAAATTAAAAAAAAACATATATCTATATTAAAAAAACAGTCAAAAACAATTCTTACAAAAAAAATGGGTCTCTTTAAGTCCCGTGGGACTCATTTCTCAATCCTAAGTCATTACTAGCTATGCTAGCCCCCCCGTGGGACTCATTTCTCAATCCTAAGTCATTACTAGCTATGCTAGCCCCATTTCTCAATGGGATTATGAATCATATTGGATTATTAATTCGGAAATTAATTTCACAACCAAACATGCTTTCAATAGAACCCACGTCAATCTTAGTCCAGTACTAAGGCACTAGAATTTCAGGGCTGATAACTCATTGAACAACAGACAATGAAATTCTTTCTACAGCCAAATTCCCATTTGTAGTTGACAGACAATTAATATATTGAAAGACCAAGTAAAGAGCACAATCCATGAACCCAGGACAATTAACAACTATTGAAACAAACACATCTGAAACAAAAAGACAGAATACTATGTTGTAGCCTATACAAAGACAGTTTGAAGCCGTTTAGACTTCACATCACAATAATTTGACCACATCTTTTTCTCCACAAAACATTGCATAGTGCCACCATTGCCAACATCCATCATTATTAGACTACCATAACCGTGCCAAATCTTGTGGCCCCTCAGCAAGCAGAGAAGCAATTATAGCAAAAAGCAACGCATGTTTTGGAATTACTACACAGAATTCTAACTGCCACAAGCCATGCACTCTTCACGGTTTGTTAAAGAACATACCATTTGTGCCATTTTGGAACTTTCATCATCTTCAATTTTGGGTTTTTCCTGCATTAACTCATTGAACAACAGACAATGAAATTCTTTCTACAACCAAATTCCCATTTGTAGTTGACAGGCAATTAATATATTGAAAGACCAAGTAAAGAGCAAAATCCATGAACCTAGGACAATTAACAACTATTGAAACAAACACATCTGAAACAAAAAGACAGAATACTATGTTGTAGCCTATACAAAGACAGTTTGAAGCCGTTTGGACTTCACATCACAACAATTTGACCACATCTTTTTCTCCACAAAACATTGCATAGTGCCACCATTGCCAACATCCATCATTATTAGACTACCATAACCGTGCCAAATCTTGTGGCCCCTCAGCAAGCAGAGAAGCAATTATAGCAAAAAGCAACGCATGTTTTGGAATTACTACATAGAATTCTAACTGCCACAAGCCATGCACTCTTCACGGTTTGTTAAAGAACATACCATTTGTGGCATTTTGGAACTTTCATCATCTTCAATTTTGGATTTTTCCTGCATTGCAAACAAATGTCAGATTTATTTCAATAATTTACAAAAATATACTTGAAATGATCAGGATTATAATAATCCATACAAATCATTACATTAAGGATAAAAGTGTCAACTGTGAACTTGATGGCATCCGCTACAGCACGTGATCTTAGATAATACATTCCAGTTTTCAAACCCTTTTGTATCAAGGAACAAGGAGAAAAAATGAATCAGATATTAATATAGAACACTTCACCAAAATCACAATTGTTAATTCAAAATGTTTGCACAAAACAATCATCTACACCATCCAACTCAGGAAGCAATTTTATACTACAATCAAATCATGCAACAATTAATTTCCATACACCGACAATTATATTCATCCAATGTAAAAGGAAAACCTCCACACCAATCATTTATAAGGATATCAATGTTGGTAATGGTCTACATCCATTTTCTTATCTTGTTAATGGCTGTTTTCCATAACCAAACGAGACATAATTTTGAAAACCAAATGTATAAAAACATGTCCCAAAACCATCCATCGATATCTTGACACATCAACTTAAATGAGCATAATATAAGTTATACCAACATAAATTTGACCACAAAAGTATGGCAAACCTCATCACCAAAATCTCAAACCACCAAATGCTAATTAGAACAAAAATTCTTACCTTGGACCACGCATGAAAGTGCAATGAAGTAAGTTTTCCAAAATTGGGTTGGTCCATATGTATATTTAAGCTCTGACTTTGGTCTATGTAGTATCCACGATCAACAACCATATCAACCAATGTCTTTTGCTTAATCTCCCAAACAGTCCTGATGTAGTAAAATGCATTAGTCCAGAGGCAGAATGAATAAGAAAAGGGAAAAGGAAGACGAAAAAGGAAACACACAAATTAGAAAATTCATACTTGTAAATAACTTTTAGTTCATCAGGAATTTCTGGGATTTTCTGAACAGAACCATCCTCATAAATTATCTGGTTCTTAAGTGCAGGTGACCAAAGACCCATCTCAGTTAGGTCATGAAGAAGATGCTTATTCACCACAACAAACTCACCACTGAAAAGGGAAAGAAGAGTATTAGATGACAAGAAGGAAAAATCAACCTTTAGAAGTCACTCATTAGCATATAATGGCAATTACAAACCTTAGAACTCTATGACTATAGATGTTTGAGGTGTACGGTTCAAAACACTTGTTATTTCCAAGAATCTGGCTGGTTGAAGCAGTGGGCATAGGTGCTACAAGAAGTGAATTTCTTACTCTATTATTTGCTATCATATCCGGAAGTGCACCCCAATCCCATTGACTTGAAGGTGTTACCCCCCACGTCACAGGTTGAAGAATTCCCTGGATAGGACAAACACCATATAAGCATCTCTAACTATTGTTAAACATGTAGGTATATCATTTTATGGCCTGGAGACTCTCACCACAAACATGTTAGCCCACAATTGCAAAATTCAAGAACAAAGTGCATTTTCCTTTTGTTAGCCCATAATAAGACATTTCATCAACAGAAGCCAAGTTGCTAAATCACACTTTCATGGAAGCACCGCTTGGAAAGCATACCTTGCTCACAGGACTTCCGCTATATGTCTCATATGGGCCTTCTTTTGCAGCCAACTCTGAAGAAGCTTTTAGAGCATGATAATATATGGTCTCAAATATGTCTTTGTTCAGCTGTTGAGCCTGCATTCCACAACCAACAAATCATCAGACCCAAGTGATCTAATTAGAAGTTACAATAGACAGGCACAAACGAAGTTTGCTTTTACCTCAGGTTAATCAAATGCCATGCCAAGTAAAATAAAGGTATCTGCAAGACCCTGTACTCCAATACCAATGGGTCTGTGTCGAAGATTTGACCTTTTTAATTAATATACCAATATTCAAAATCATATCCTAGTCCAATAAAACCCATTACATAATGCTACCAATGCCTTTTCGATCCCCTTAAGTAATAGAAAAAACATGAGAAAAAGAAATTAGGAGAGGGTCATACCCTTTCCAGTTTGATGCCAATAAAGCCCTAAATTCCCCGATTTGGGGCTGGGTCAACTTTAGGGTTGGGTGTGAAGGTATATGCGAATTGAAGGAGACATAGAGAGGAAGACGGAGAGACACACACACACGCACAGAGAGAGAAAGAGAGAAAGGGCGAAACAGAGGACATACCTACCCAAGACAAAGCGACGGTGGGTGAGAGGGAGGGTATGCGTGAGAGAGACGGTGTTGCTGCTGCAAGAGAGACAGAACGACGACTGGGTGATAGAGAGGGTATGCGTGAGCAAGCGCGAGAGGAAAGAAGAGGGTTGGTTACCTAGACGCTGTTGTTGCCGGTGCAAGAGAGATAGAGTGACGACTGGGTGAGAGGGAGGGAGAGAGCAGTGAGATTAGGGTTTTTTTTTTTTTTTTTTTTGATCTGAAGAGATAACATAGAATTTGGGAATATCGGGAATGAGGGAGAGTGGGAGAGGGGGCTTTGGCACGAAATTAGGAATTATTATTTGCGACGATATTAAGGCCGTCGCAAATGAAAGAGAAAAAAGTAAAATTTTGTGACGGATTGGCAAAAGAGCGTGGCAAAACAGGAAAAAAAAAATTAAAATCAGAAAAATTTTGCCACGTTTAACTTACCATCGCATATAACCTTATTTTTTGCCACGGTCTAACTTTTTCCGTCGCAAAGACTATAAATTCCGCGACGGCACTTAAACCGTCGCAAAAAGAAGCTTTTGCGATGACACTTAAACCGTCGCAAATTGCTCCATGTCAAATGCTCCTTTTTCCAGTAGTGATAATTATGTGTCTACCTCTTTTATTTTCAGAGGTACCCAAAAAAAAATTGTTTGTCAAATGAACCATAAACGGCTCCGTTGAAAATAATAAAAATTATAATAAATTATACTAATTTTTTTTGAGCTACTTACGTGTAAGTCCTAATAAGTAGATTTATTATCTAATAGGTCTTATGAGAAAAATTTATCAAAAAAAATGTCACTAATTGTAAGTTTTAGTGATAATTTATAAAAATCATGACAAAAAAAGTTACTAATTGTCAATTTTTAGCGACGTATGCAAAAAATTATCACAAAAAAATTATTTTTAACGACAATTTTATCAACACTAATTTTCAGTAGGACTTTATGGGAATTAAGTCTAACTATTAGGACCTATTGGTAGTTTACCCATCTTTTTGTAGATTTGAAATATATATATATATATATATATATAAATCTCACAATTTTAACATAATTACACTAAATTTCTTTTTTAATAAGACTAAAGGGACCATAATTAATACATATAATATGAAAACATAAACATGAACAAGGTAAAATATAAAAATTAAGGGCAAATTACAAACACTCCCCTCGAGATTTGGTGAAAATACAGATTTCCCTTGAGGTTTGAGAAATTACATCCCGTCCCCTGAGGTTTATATTTTCATAACAAATTGTTCCCTGAGATTTTTATTTTCATACAGATTCCCCTCTAATTTTTCCTAATTTGTTATGAAATTTTGACCCTCATGAGTAATTTGTAATTTTTCAAACCTCAGGGGGAATCTGTATTTTTATCAAATTTCGAGGGGTGTTTGTAATTTGCCCAAAAATTAATATTACTTTTTGAAAAATGATATAAAACCCATTTTTAGATTGATTTTTAAAATTCACCGATGTGTAAAAGAGATTATTGATGAATGATGAGAGAGAGAGAGGGGGTTATATTCTAATGGACTATATTATTGGATATAGAAAGTGAATCTGACTTTTGAGTTTGGGGTTTCACTCATCAGAGTATACATAATGGGACAATTTATCTTTTTTTATTACAAACCAATTGAGAAAGATGAAAAGGAATGAGAAATTACCGATTAGGTAGAGAAAGAGAGAAGATGGAAACCAACGACGTCCTAACCATTTTTGTTAAAGAATCTGACTTACTTCATCGGAGTAATAAAAAGGTCAAAAAGCAATGTAATGATGGATCTATGGAAGAAACCGATGAGCAAGAGCACGATGATACTAAAATGGAACGAGATAGGGATCTAGGTGTGTCCCTTGGGTCTTTTCGAGAGGCGCTCATTGGAGACAACCCAACAACTTGGTATAATGGTGATAATGACGAAGATGACCTACTACTCTCAACTAACCAAATCTCAATGAAGCCATCTCCTACCATTGATTGGCCTACCTTATCGGTTCTGCCAGAGGAATTAACGAAGCTGAGGGCACCATGGAGGAAGGCACTTTGTTAAGGTTCTCGGTCGATCAGTTGGCTGCAATGTGCTAATCCAACGAATAAAGCAAATATTGTTGTCTAAATTGTGAAATTAAATATATAGATTTACGAAAAAATCAAAATTATATACTAAGAACATATGTTGATAATTATAACTAAATTACAACAGAAATATCCAATACAACAAAATGGTAAAGAAATCAAACTAAAGTCTGCACGGTAGCAGTTTTTTGAAAACAGATTTTGCCGCCTCACGGGTCAAGTGCTTGAAGAATTCCGACGTCTGTCTCCCAGGATACGACGGTCAAAAACCAGCTACGGGAAAAGCACTCTCTATCTAGCCTAGCGAACAAAAATTGTGGTAGCACTCTTTCACTGTAGGAACTTTCTGGCAAACTGACTTGTAAAATAAAAGCAAAAATTTTTATATTGAGAATTGACAGGAGGGTCTCAATTTATACATATATAATGGAGAGAGGAAGAGCTCCCAGCCTTTATGGCTGGTCATTAAAGCACCATTAACCAACATCCATAACCCCTTTTCAGAAAGTTGAAAAGTTTGGATGCCAAAAGGGTTCACACCCTTTAGCCAAGAAAGATTTAAATACTCTTTAAAATCCCTTTCATGGAGCTAACTTTAAGAGGCAATATCTTATTCAATTCTCAATGATTTTTGGCCCACTTCAACACAATTAAAGTCACCAAAAAATCATGTTTTCCAACAATCCCCCACATGAATAAAAATTGGCCAAATCACTCAACAAACAGACACCATTCAACAATAAAGACTCGGAGAAAGAGTACAACGGACTAACCCCGACATTAGAGAAGGTAGCTTTTGGCTTTGAACCTCTCCCAGTGAAAACCTATCGAGTTTACTAGTTGATCAGTGAATATGACATCTTGAACTATTCTGTCGTTCATGTAAACTGAGACAATAGATCTCACACGGGAATTACTTGTACTGCCATTCTGTTCTCACTGGTATGCCCTGTATGGCCCTGGGCACTCGCCTGGTTCAGCGAGTGGTTTCAAAGAATCTTGGACTGCCCAATTCTTCTAGAAGCGGCCCACTTCACACTCACATAGGTGACTCTTCAAAGTATCCTGCTATACCTTGTTTGAATCCTCAACACATAAAAGTCTTTAAAAACTTTGCTTAACCTTCACCCCTGCTAGTGTCACTGCTTAAAGGAATGGCTGGAGGGTTTTCCCTCCATAGTGACATACTATTGTTACACGCAATTAGATTGTCCCATTAAATCTAGATTTTGGGATCTCCAGTCAACTAGGTTGGGTTTCCATTCCGGTAACTTCCAAAGGCCTCAACCCCATTCCTTTTGACGACGTCTTGACTAACACTTGATTTAACCGTTTGGTTAGCAAATCCGCAATATTGTCCTTAGACTTTACATAGTCTGTGGAGACAACTCCATTCGAGAGTAGTTGTCATATGGAATTATGTCTACGACGGATATATCTAGACTTTCTATTATACATATTACTCTGTGCCCTACCAATTGCAGATTGACTATCACAATGAATACAAATAGCTGGAACAGGTTTAGACCAACGTGCGATATCTTCAATGAAATGGTGAAGCCATTCAGCTTCTTCTGTTGCTTTATCTAAAACAATAAACTTTGATTCCATCGTTGATCTAGATATACACGTTTGCTTGGAAAATTTCTAAGACACGGTTGCCCCATCAAGAGTGAACACATATCCACTAGTGGACTTTGAGTCCTTTATATCTAATATCTAATTCGCGTCACTATAGCCTTCTAGCATCGCTGGATATCGAGTATAATGCAACCTGTAATCCCAAGTGTAGCATAAATACCTTAACACCCACACAATGCCCTTCCAATGAGTATCATCGAGATTACTTGTGTATCTACTAAGCCTACTAACCGAGTAGGCTATATCTGACCCAGTACAACTCATCTGATACATTAAACTTCCAATTACCCAAGAATATTCTAACTGAGAGGCACTCTATTTACTATTCTTGGAAAAATATAGACTTAAGTCTACAGGTGTCGATGAGACACTCGTATCTGATCCACTAAACTTCTCAAATATCTTATCAATATAATGAGACTGAGAAAATACAATTCCGCTAGATGTTCTAGTAATCTTAATTCCCAGAATAACATCTACAATGCCCATATCCTTCATGTCAAACTTAGAGTTTAACAACTTATTAGTAGTTTTCATCATTTCATCATTACTACCTATAATGAGCATATCATTAACATATAGACACAAAATGACATAACCTCTGTCAGTGTCTTTGACATAAACACACTTGTCACATTTGTTGATTCTAAACCCACTTGACAACATTACGTTGTCAAACTTCTCATGCCATGGTTTAGGCGCTTGCTTCAAACCATACAATGATTTGACAAGTTTACAGACTTTCTTGCTTTGCCCTGGAGCTAAAAACCCTTTAGGCTGCTCCATGTAGATTTCTTCATTCAAATCCCCATTTAAGAAAGTTGTCTCTACATCCATCTGGTGTATCTCTAGATTGCGCAAAGATGCTATCGCAATCACTATGCGAATGGATGTTATCCTAGTTACAGGTGAGTATGTATCAAAGTAATCTAGGCCTTCTCGTTGCCTATACCCTTTGATAACGAGCCTAGCCTTGTATTTATCAATTGACCCATCAGCGTTCATCTTTCTTTTAAAAATCTACTTGCAGCCTAAAGGCTTACTACCTGGAGGTAAATCCACCAACTCCCAGGTATGGTTTTGTAAAATGGAGTCAATCTTACTTTTGATCGCTTCTTTCCATAAAGGACTCTCAGGAGAAGTCACAGCTTTGTGGAAAGTTTGAGGTTCGTTTTCAACCATATAAGTCAAGAAGTCTGGACCAAAAGACTTGGACATTCTAGCCATTTTACTCCTAGGCTCATTTAAAACCTCAATATGATCATCACCTTGATCATCAATATGATCATCATCACTAGCAAGTTCATCAAATTGCTCCAAAGACCTCGGAACCTCTTCTTGGGTTCGGTAAGGAAAAATGTCTTCAAAGAAACATGCATTCCTTAACTCCATGATGGTATTCCTGCGTATGTCTGAAATTTCAGACTTATGTACAAGGAACCGATATGCACTACTATTAAGTGCATAACCAATGAATATACAATCCTTGGATTTTGGGCCTATCCTAACCCGTTTGGGTGTAGGAGTCTCCATTTTTGCAAGACACCCCCACATTCGTCAGATTTTATACCAAAGCTTAACGCCTTTCCATAACTCATACGTCGTCTTGTCCACCTTCTTCCATGGTACTTTATTCAGAATGTAATTTGCAGAGAGAATTGCTTCCCCTACATATTTTGTGACAATCCAAAACTTATCAACATTGCATTCATCATTTCCTTTAGCGTCCTATTTTTTCGCTTAGCAATCCCATTTGATTGAGGAGAATAAAGCGCCATGATTTGGTGGATAATCCCAGATTGAGCACAAATCTCAATAAACGGAGATTCATACTCACTACCACAATCACTTCTTAAAGCCTTAATCTTGCGGCCTACTTGATTCTCAACTTCATTCTTATAAAGAACAAACTTATCAATAGCCTCATCTTTACTTTTGAGCAAATAGACATAACAATACTTAGTGAAATCATCAACAAACGTGAGGAAGTACATATTGCCACCACGTGATTTTATAAACTTTAAGTCACACACATCATTATGCACTAAGTCCAACGATTCTGAACTTCTTTCAATAGAATGAAATGAAGATCTTGTCAACTTCGCTTCAACATAAGTTTCACACTTCTGTTTCAGATTAATCTTAAAAGATGGCATGTGATCCACCATGATTAATCTACGTAAAGATTTAAAGTTCACATGACCTAGTCTACCATGCCACAAATTGGAAGACTCAAGCATGTAAGCAGAAGAAGATGCATCTTTATTCATCTTTGGGATAATAGTTATTACATTGAGTTTAAACATACCCTCCGACCTATAACCCTTACCCACATACACTACGCTCTTGGTCAGAACGACCTTGTCGGACTCAAAAACCATGCAAAAACCATGTTTACTGAGAAGAGACCCTAAGACAAGATTCTTACGAATGTCCAAAACATACAGGACTTCATTCAAGGTTAGTTCCTTTCCTGAGGTTAACTTCAGGACCACCTTTCCTTTCCCCTCAATAATTGAGGTAGCAGAGTTTCCCATAAACAACTTATTACCGTTTGTAACCGGTTAGAAACTTGTAAACAGCTTCTTCTCGGAGCAGATGTGGCATGTAGCCCCAGTATCAATCCACCATTCTCTTGGGTTTGAACCTACCATATTTACCTCAGAGACAACAGCAGACAAGCACATGTCATCCTCATTATGGGAATGCTCTTGTATATCTGCCATATGAGCATGAGGTTTGGTCTTGTATGGCTTTTTCTGCTTGCGGCAATCACTAGCCTGATGCCCTTCGCTACCATAGTTGTAGCATTTTCCTAAGAACCGATAACCAAGTTCATGCGGCTTATATGCTAACTTCCACCCGTTGGCCCCATCTTTGAGCCCTTGCTCACAGGGGGCTTCTTCTTCACCCTAGAAGATTTGCCATGCTCAATGACATTAGCCTTTATTAAGAAGGTACTCCCTCATATCTTTCTATTATCTTCCTCAATTTGGAGTCGGACAATCAGGTCTTCAACTGACATTACCATCATTAGTCTTTTCCATAGGACAGTCTCTGACACGATGACCCATCTCACCACATTCAAAACAAGCTCCAGATGCCTAACGACAAACTCCAAAATGTGGCTTCCCACAACTTGAACATGTCGGCCTAGTACCACTTCCCTGATTTGAGTTGCTTGAATTGCCCACATTTGCCTTCTTCTTGGCATTAAACGATCTTCGACGGTTGTCATAATTCTGTCTCTTTCTCTGGCTCTCTCCTAAACTTTGATATCTATTTAAGTTAGCTTCTGCCAGGATGGTTTTGTCCAAAACGCCATCGTAAGTCAGTATGTTGAGCATATTAACCCGATCTTGTATCGGTCCACGAAGCCCACTTTCAAACTTTCTAGCTTTTCTATATTCATCATTGACCACGTGAGGCGCATATCTAGCCAACTAAGTCAAAGCACGGTCATATTCAGCCACTGTCTTGTTGCCTTGTGTCAGAGTCTGGAACTCTGTGGTCTTGCGATCTCGGACACTAAGGGGAAAATGCTTGTCATAAAATAACTCTAAAATTTTGGCCCAAGTCAAACCCGAATTACCTTCTCGGATCATCATCCACCACCTACGAGCGTCGTCGTCCAATGTGAATGTTGCCAATGACACCTTCTAAAAGTTGAGGGCATGGATATGTTATGAAGAGTGCCAACTCTATTTTGTTATGATTTAATTGTTAGCCAAGGGCTATTCGTGTATGGGTCTGAGAGGCCACTTTTGTGTAACTGGGCTTAAGCCGTGGAAATTGTAAGCCCATGAGGGCATTTCATTATTTTTTGGAACGTAACGCTCTACATGCTATAGATCCATGTATTCATTTATCCTTGAATGTATAATCTGTATGTGGAACTTTTGTGCAAACTTGTTGATTAACGATGTAAAGATATGAGAATCGTTGTTATTATTTCGTGGATGTTGGTTGGTGTAGTTGATTTATATTCGTTATTTTCGGGGCGTCACAAGATGAACCTACCAAATCTACCAAAGTCACAAAGCATAATACAATAGCAAAGTGTGGTAATTGTGGGACATGGGGCCATAACTATAAGAGCTGCGACAATCCACCAAACAGGGAGTACCAACAAAAAAATAAACCAAGATGGAAGAGCTTAGGCTATAAAAGGAAAAAGGTGACTGCATACTTTGTTGTTAATGTTTTAAATTAATGCAACTAAATATATGTTTGATTGGACCAAATATTTTCCAAGGGCAGCTTCAGTAATTCCAAGGGCACCAAATCCATCTGCATCAAGGGCAAGTTCACAAACATAAAGGGAAACTTCAATAACAAAAGCAACTTCAACATCAAGGGCAACAATAACAGCAGGAACAAGGACAACACCAACAGCAACAACAAAGGCAACATTGTCACAAACATTTGAAGCATCAAGAGGAGCAACATTAACACCAACAACAGCCTAATTTACATGGAGAGTGAGGAATTGTGAACTTGTCCTCACTTCAGAATGCATCTGCTCTGAGGAGAAGAACCCAAAGTAGGGGTGTTGTTTATTTTGATTATCAAACACTTTTGACAATGGGGCATGTTTTATCTATGTAGTTATGGATACTACCAGCATGTTTGTATCATGAACATGTGGCCATTTTGACTTGGTGGATACCAACAATATATTTTATGAAATGAATTATGGCCATTTGAGTGTTCATGTGGATATTGGCTTCATTTGTGGCAATGTAGTTATGGATACTGCCAGCAAGTTTTCCTACATTCGCTCTCATTTAGTGATCACATGTTTTTCATGTTGCTAACTTTTGTTAAAGAGTCAAACAGTGAGAGTAGCAGAAGGGCCAATGAGACACTTGACCAAAAGCGCAGGGAGTTAAGTGTCACAATTTGATGTGTAAGATCAAAATGGGATTTTATGTTCTGTGGACATTTCTTTTTTCTTTTTTTCTTTTTTTAGAACTTGCTTATACAATGGAAGTGAATGAGAGATTTCTAAGTAAAAGCTTTATATCTTTTGCAGAATGAGAGATTTCTTTTTCCATTTTCATTTTGCAAAGCTTTATACCTTTTACTGTAAAAGGGATTTCTATATAAGTCTATCAACAAACACCAGATAATGTATGTGGATATATGCAGAATAATGGATATCAGGACCTGCTTAAGAATTTTACATGACTTGCAACAAAAATGGCAAAAATCTTTATACTTCATTTATAATGTATGTGGATATGTGATGCTGTTAGTACAAAAATGTTTTGGTATTTCCGCAATTTTATCTTATTCCTCTAATTTCTATGTAGGGTAAGACGGGCTGTCTTTGTATCATTTATTTTATTTTATTTTATTTTTATCATTATGAAATAAGCAGCAGTCGTGGATGTAACTATTGTTTTGGGACAAACTATGTAAATCATTGTATTCCTATGTGCTTGTATCGTTTCTATTTTTTATTTTTTATTTTCTATTCGTGTTTCGTATCTCACCTATCCTAATTAGTTGTATCAATTCCGAACAAAATGTAGTATACATGAAATATGTAGGACTCAAATTCGAAATTCCTGAACAACATACTAGCAAAATCATACCAAAATCCATTGAATTTTGAAAAAATAAATATGAACTATTAATTTAATTTGTGACTAATCAAACATCACTAAATTCATTACAAAAAACAAATAGGGTGAATTACACTTTACACCCTTACACTTTGCACCAAATCTAACTTTGGTCCCTACACATGAAATCATGATAGTCAACCCCCTACACTTTTGGTCAAATCCCACTTTGATCCTGTGATGACCGGGTATGCAAACCGTCCTACTTTCTTTTGTGTGTTGGGTTCAACACTTTTTGAAATCTATCTCTTGATTTTCGTCTCTTTTAGCTTCAATTCTGAGTCCCACTTGTTTCAGGAGGCTTGAAGTTGAATCTGGGAGGAGGGGGGCTTACTTTTAAGCTGGAATTTTTCTAGACCGAGGGCTGAGCTGCACGTGCAGAAATTTGGGTGAATTCTGGGCTGCACACTGCATTATATGCAGGTGCGGAGGCAAGTGCGGGGGAGGAGTGCCGCACGTGCGGGGATCAGTGCCGCACGTGTGGGAGGCAGGCTCTGCACGTGCGGGACGGGCTGGATCTGAGAACTCTATTTTTTTTTTCTCATTTTGGCTGAAGGTGTATCACTTTCTAACCCTCCATTCTCACTCTAAAAACAATTTTGCTCCCACTTCTCTCTAAAATCTCTCATCAAACACTAAAAGCCCTTGATTCATTGCAATCCATTGGGTCTAGATCCATTCTCTCTCACAAGTTTTGGAGATCAAAGTTAAAACTTCCCTTGGTGTGGTGGAGATCGAAAGTTTTCATCTTTGGCTCTGGGGTTTCATCTCATCTCTTCAACAAGAACTTGAGGTAGGGTTTCCTTTCAGTTATATATATATTTTTGCTAGATTGATGTTTAATTTGGAACTTCTTGGTGATAATATGAAATTTTTACATTTGGTGCAAGAATGTTATGGTTTTCAAGGGTGGGTTTACCAATGTTTCTTTAAATAGTCTCTTGAGGGTTTGAATAACCTTGGTTAAGGAATGATGTCCTCTTTTCAAGTTTCTTTTAAATGTTTGGGTGTGTGCGTGTATTGTGGTGGTGGAAGTCAAACCTAGAAATTGGGGGTTTTCAAAATAAATGGTGAGAACACATGGAATTATATTATTAATGTATTATTTTGTATATCAAATGAGTTAAAGAAAGGAAAGATTCTTACTTATAGTTACAAATGATGAATCTCATAAAATAGGGGAATTGTTAGTGTTGGAAAGAAATAAATTTTCAATTGTTGCTAAAGTCTTGAAATGACTATGTTGTTGGAATTGCTTGAGACATGGATATGTGGTTGTTTGTCGATGAATTAAAATGGGAACATGGTTCCATTGTGAGATAGTATGGAACGGAAGGAATGCAAGCTTGTTTATTTTGAGATTATTGTTGAAATACTTAAGAATGGAGAGGAAATTATTATTGTAGCATTATCAATTGTCACTTTGCATACAATATTGTTTGGATGCTGCATATTTTGATTTGAATTTTAAATATCTTGCATTGAGAAAAGAATTGTTGAGAAAAGAGAACTAAGGAAATGTTTTGGGGTTAAATACGTTGGTAAGTCCGAATAGGAGGTGTAGATGGAATTGATAAGTTGGCTTGAGTGTTCGAGGTGAAGGACCAAAAATACGAGCGAAGGAGGTACCACATCCCTTCCGGTTAGCAACTGATAAAGTGGGGTTTTTGGTAGTGCTAGTTAGGCATTCTTACAGACACGAACCTAGGGATTACCTGAGTCATATTTACCGCCCCGTTGAATAAAATTGTAAATTTCGAAATTGTTGAGGTTTCAAACTATGGTTGAACATGGTGACTTTTAAAAGGCATGTAAATGAAATCCTCTTTAAATTAGGCATTGCATGGTGCATTTAATATCGAAAATTTTGCATAAATGTATATACTTTGTTAAGGATTGTCTACTAGGTTGTATGCTCACCCCTATGGGATTTTGGTGTAGGAAAAGATGTGGTGATCCCACCGAGTTGAGGGCGTGGACCTATTTTTGTGAAGAGTAAAGGACTCTATTTTTGTTGTGAATTATTTGCTAGCCAAGGGCTCTAAATGTATGGATTCGTGAAACCATTTTTGTGTAACCAGGCTCAAGCCTTGGAATATGTAAGCCCTTAAAAGCATTATATTTATTTTGGGATTTGATGTTCTACATGCTATAGATTCATGTATTTTATACCTTTGAATGTATAATTCGCATGTGGGACTTTTGTACACACCGTATCGATTAATGATGTAAAGGTTGGAGTTTTGCTATTAATTCTTAATAGATGTTGGTTATTGTACCTAATTTGGGTTGCGTTATTTCGGGGCGTTACAAATCCCTACACATAAAATCATGGCGGTCAACCCCCTACACTTCTGCTAAATATCAATTTGCCCCTTCTATTACTCCATTATTAAAGTTTTTAATAGAATCCAATTATGTAATAAATATGTGACTATGAAATGAGGGCAAGAGAGAAAAATCATTCTCATTTCCCACCGATATATACTTTGTCCCACATGATAAGTATGTTAGAGTCATATAATACAATATGTGTGTGTGTGTGTGCGCGTTCATATGCTGAAAATTAGGACAAAGACATAAGAAAGTAGAGCTTTTGAAATTTTTTTTTTAAAAAAAGGCAGCAGAGAAATCAAAGACTCTGTTACTGTGGAAAAGTTTCAATATCTCAATTTTTGCAAAACCCAAGTTTAATTATCACCTTTATTGTTCACAATTTACGTTTTGTTTTAGCAGAGTACAATCAAAATTTGATGTAAATTTAGGATGAAATGTGTATAGATGAGAAATTTGGGTGATTTTTCTCTTTTGCCATCATTTTATAGTCATATACTTGTTACATTACTGACTTCTGTTAAAGACTTATTTGATAGAGTAACAAAAGGGAGATATCGACACTTGATCATAAGTGTAAGGAATTAATTGTCATGATTTCATAAGTATAGGGAGTTAACTATCACTAGTTCATATGTAAGGACCAAAGTGGGATTTGACCAGAAATATAGGGAGTTGACTATCACGATTTCATATGTAGGAACTAAAGTGAGATTTGGTATAAAGTGCAGGGATGCACAGTGTAATTTTGGGTTGCACAAAATACCGTCCAATTCACTAAAACCACACTGATTCACATCAATCTGCACCGCTCTATCCATTAACCACGGTTTAAACTTTAAAATTTATAATCTGCCTTCGAAACCGCTCTGTTTTTCTATAGTTAATACATATTTTTAACCTATAATGAAATATCAAAGTAAAAATAAGTGTGAAAGAGATTTAATATGTGAAATTTATTACAAATTAGTGGTTATATATATGAAAAATATTATGTAAAATTAGTAGTTATATATATGAAAAATATTATGCAAATTAATGTTATATATTGTGCAAATGCTTGATAATTGGTTAGAATATTCTTCAATCCGCCAATCCATTCAAAACCACTCAAACGGTAATTTGCCAATCTGCCAATCTATTAATCCACCATTTGGTTTATAATTTTACTCTTAAACCGCCCGATCCGCATTGCACATGTAATTTACCTAAACAAATAATATGAATCATAAACAAATATCTGTAAGTTGTAACTCAACAATACTAAGTTCATAACCTATTTTGGTTTTATAATTCCTATGAGTTGTTTTCGTAACGTATTTTGGTTTAACATTTAAGTAGTCCTGTAATCTATATCTATAAATTTTATAAGGAAAAATGAGATTTTTAGGGAAAAGCTTTCTAGGAGCTCCAAACCCTCCTTCTAAAATTATTGAATTTTCTTAATTTTAAACAATTAAGAAAATTCTCATTGGCTAACTTATATTTAAATTTTATTTTACAATCCCATATCAAAAGAAGAAAGAAAAAGTAAATTGGTTCACTTACATAAAGTGAATCTTATAGTCCCATTTATATATGCAAAAAAGATTTTTAGTGAGAAGTCTTATGATCAATATCTCATACTAATTTTGCTTTGATTTTCTTAATTTTAAACAATTAGGAAAATCCAATTGGCTAGCTTCCTTTTAACTTTTATTTTACAATCTCACATAGTGGTTTTAATTTTAAAAATAATTTTGTATGAGATTTTGAAACTCTCATAATATTTCTCCTTAAAAGTATTATTTTGTAAAATATATAGATATATTCATGATCTCAACGTCACTCTTACTGCTCCTTAATACAAAAATTATGACATAATTATGATAATTTTAAATTTGTATTTAAAGCTTATAAATCATGGGATAGATTATTATAATTTTAAATTTATATTGTGTGAATTTTAAATTTAAATTAATAGATTGTTTTCCAAATTTAGTGATTGTTTAAATTTTAATAAAATAAAATTTAGAAGTTTTAATTAAGTAATTTTTGTGTAAACTAGTTGGTCTTTTGACCTAACTAATTAAACTAAATCGTTTTTGGTTTGAATGATTTGTTGGTTTAACCGTGATTTTAACGGTTTTATCAAAATATATTGCTTAGATTTGTTTGATTCAAAATAAACTAAAAATTGACCTAATAAAGATTGAAAAGCTGAGATTACTTGAGTAGAAATAAATTTTTCGCCCAAACAATTGCTAATTTTATTTTACAATCCTATATCGAGAAAAAAAAAAGTGAGTTGTTTCACTTATATAAAGTGAATTTTATAAAGATGGTTTTGAGGGAGAAGCTTTCTAGGAGTTCCGAACCCTCATTCTAAAATTATTAAATTTTCTTAATTTTAAACAATTAAGAAAATTCCTATTGGTTAGGTTTCATTTACCTTTTATTTTACAATTACACATAAAGGGGGAAAAAGAAAAAAAGTGAATTGTTTCACTTTACATAACGTGAATCTTATGCTCCCATTTATATAAATTATTAAATTTTCTTAATTTTAAACAATTAAGAAAATCCTCATTGGCTAGCTTCCATTTAACTTTTATTTTACAATCCCACATAAATGTTTTGATTTTAAAAATAATTTTGTGTGAGATTTTGAAACTCTTATATTATTTAACTTTAAAATAACTACAATCCCACATTGAGAAAAGAAAGAAAAAATGAGTTATTTTACTTATATAAAGTGAATCTTATACTCCTATTTAATATTATAGTATTGTGCATGTTTTAATTCAAGATGGCTTAAATTTTTAAAATAAAATTTAAAATTTTTAATTAATTAATTTTGTTGTGAATTGGTTGGTGTTTTGACTTAGCCGATTAGGCTGAATCATTTTTTGTTTGATTGATTCACTGTTTTAACCGCAATTTTAGCAGTTTATCAAAATATATTGCTTAGATTTGTTTGATTTGAAATAAACTAAGATTGATCTTATGAAAAATTAAATGACTAAGATTGCTTGATTAAAAATGAACTTCCTGTCCAAACAACTATTGGCTTTTATTTTACAATCCCCCATCAGGAAAATGAGAAAAAAAAATGAGTTGTTTCACTATATAAACCTTATGCTCCCATTTAATATTGTAATGTTGTGTATGTTTCAGTTTAAACAGTTTGAATTTTAAAATTAAAATAAATTTTAAAAGTTTTAATTAATTAATTTTTGTATAAGTTGGTTGGTCTTTTGACCTAGCCGATAGGGTGAACCGTTTTCGGTTTGACTGATTTGCTGGTTTAACTGCGATTTTAGTAGTTTTATCAAAATATATTGGTTAAATTTGTTTGATTCGAAATAAATTAAAGATTGACCTAATTAAGGATTAAATGACTAAGATTGCTTGATTCGAAATAAACTTTCTATCCAAACAACTATTAACTTTTATTTTACACAATCTCACATCGGGAAAAGAAGGAAAAAATGAGTTATTTCACTTATCTATCTATATATTATACAAGAAAAAAAGGGTTTCTAATCCACAAGCCTTGCGGGAGCTCTAATATCCCAATCTTAATTTTCTAATTTTTTGAATTAAAAAAAAAAACTCTCAGCATTTATTGACTTCTCCTAACTCACAAGCTTTTTTGACATCTCCCATACTTACTACTGCACCATTTTTATAACAACCCTCATCTTGTCTTAGTCATATTCATGAACATTTATATGATTTTGCCGTGTTAAGTTTGTACTTGCAGACTTAGACTTGTTTTGCCTAGATAAAGGTCATTGTCTTGTCTTGATGCTATCATGTTTTGCCTAAGTATTATATGCATGCTTTGTTCCTTGCTTGGTGCTCCATCAAGCCTAGGTCATCTATCCTTGCTGTCTCAAGCCTAGGTCACACCTTTGAACCTCTTACACCTAGGCTGTTGAGCGCCAACACCTAGGACCATCTTGGAACCACCTTGGTTGACCTCCACCATTACCTAGACATATTGGCCAAGATGTCATCATCTAGGCCAAGGTGTGTATCACCTAGGCCGAGATGTTATCATCTAGGCGTCCTAGATCTTTGATCTATGCACCTAGTAATCTTGTTCCTAGACTGATATGACCTAGGCTGAGGTGTGGCACATCTAGGCCAAGGTGTGGCACACCTAGGTCAAGTGTTATCCTTCGTAGCCGAGATCATTGAAACCTTCTTGTCCGAAGCCTATGTCTTGATCCGGGATCATTGCCTTGTCAGAGTGCCCAGGCCATCTTACTTGTTGTACACACTCTGTCATATCCTTGTCTTTTCACTCTGGCACCTTTTTGAAAAGAGCTAATCAAATGATGCCACACATCCCAGGAGTGGTTTAACAGCTGGCAGTGAGGGAACCCATATCATTACCATAACT